GAAGTCCGTAAAGGGGCCGCCCACCCCTGGCCTCGGATCACATGGGAAGGCAGAGATCCAACCCCCAAACATAAGCAGACTGGTGGAACCAACGCCCCAAGCTCCTCGGGTGGGTTCTTCTTTGCTGGATGCAGCCAAGGAGATAGGCCAAACTAGCCCTCTGCGTGCAGAAAGTTCAATTCCAAGCAGCTTTCTAGATTGAGGTTCCTGGAAATTGCAAGTTCACTGAACTTTCAGCTCTGGGCACCGCATTTTAAAGCATTCAAAGCAAGCGCAGAAAATAGCAATGAAGACGTGGGAATTAGAGATCATCAGGGACTGCAAAGTGAGACGGAAGCGAGACACCATGTTTAGCCTTGAGAAACGATGAGAGAACAGATTCCGCTGGGATGTTAAAAATAACACTTCCCAGCATACAAGCAGCTTAGCACATAGGCCAGAAAAGGAGCTATCGCTGATGCAACCCTGTCATTTCCACCCCCCGCCCAAAACACATTATTACAATTCTACCAGTTACACCTATTTATTTAATATTTTCTCTTCTCTGGCACTTTCAAGGTTAACTTTTTATTAGCTGATCACGCAGCACAGGGTCCAGGTTGCCAGTTTCTGAATGAAAGCCGCTGGACTGGAGCTGAGTCACTTGTCCATCAAAGTCCTTTCTTTGCCTTTTGACACCTGTCACAAGACCTTCCCACATTCCTGTGGCACCTGAGCTCCTTGGGCAGGTGTGAGCTGCAAAGCATATGGTTTCTCCGGAAAGACAAGGCTCGCCCAAGGATAAGCTGTCAAGCATTAAATATTTCTTCACCAGCTTACCGGGGACTTTTGCTAGCTCCATTTAGGCATGACCGTGTCACCAGCTATGAAAAATGGACAATAGAATTGTTCCTTCTCAAGAGGAGGAAATACAGCAGGTGAGACTAAAGTGGTTTTGCTGAACTGCCCTGAACTGAACTTTGGTTTTCCAAGAACGACTGTTGCAAAAAAAAAAAAAAGTGTAAAATTGGGGGTGATCCATTGGTGATTCATTTAACGACCAGCATGACTGGCTCGATTGATGACCGTAATTCCAGGCTCAATTCCAGTCTTCAAGGACTTCTCCCACTGCCAATCAAAGCAGTTCGACAAATTTCCAAATTGCTCAGTGCTGCGCCAAGAACATTTAGACGCAGTTTACGTTTGCTAACGTACCTTTGCAACTGGCACAACTCTAGCTGGACTTTGCTGCCCTTCCAATTTATGGCTGAAAGCTTTTTTTTTTCTGGCCACTTCCCCCTTTCCTCCTTTCTCTGCCTGAGAGGATGCAGACCGTAACAGCTTTCCGTGTCGCTGCCAGTGAAGGAACCTGCTTTAAAGAGATTTTCTTTGACCTTTTTGCCCCGGAAAGCCACGGCTGAGAGGTTTCAGTGCTTCTCACTGTTTCAGAAAGGACAAGCGAGGAGGTTGTGTGTGTGTGTGTGTGTGTGTGTGTGTGTAGGGTCTGACTAACATCCCTGCCACTGGTGGAAATGTTGGCCTGGTAACTGAATTACCCAATGGTTACACAACACACAATTATTGCAGCCTGCCACTTGGTTTTCTCCCCGCTTTGGCTGGGGAAGAGGAGCCTGGCGCAGGCTTGGAGAAACGGGGGGGCAGCACACGGGGTGCCCGGGGGCAGAGTTAAAAGGCTAAACAAGCTATCGCACCAAAAGCAGCTGGGCAGGGGCTCCTTGGTTCCCGCTGTGTGGGTGTGTGTTGTCAGCTTTCTGCTCTCCTGAAAGTGCCGCTTGGCTGCGTTGCAGGGAAAAAGCATTTCACGGGGGGAAAGGCTAAGAAAAGCCGGATGTGTGAGCTCTTCCTCCTTGTAGCATCCTTTGGCCAAATTAGAGCTCCGGCTGCTTCCATTAGGTGACATCACGGGGGGGGGGGGGGCTATGGTTAAGGATGACGCAAGTAGCCAGCGCGCCAGGCCAGTCGCGTTGCAAATGCATCTCTGGGTTTCCGATTTTAGGCCTTCGGAAAAGCCAATTCTAGCCAGTCAGGAGGTCTGGCAGTTGTGTAACTTATTTTTAAAATAGCACAACCTTGCTTTGGGTCACATGCATCCCAGCTTCGTGCTCTGGGCTGCGCAGGGCCTTCTGGTTTACGTCAGGCTTCTCCATGACATGATTTCCTTTGGCTGTTGCCGATTGGAGGACATTCTGAAAATGAGAGATCTTATCTAGTTGCGTTCATGGCATCGAGCATGAAGAGGCAGCTCAGTTTTTCTTTGAAATGGATTCACATCTCCTCACATGCGTCCCTTCCATGCATTTGAACCCCCCCCCCCGCCCCCGGACAGAGGACAACTCAAATAAACTGCAATTCTTCCCCATCACTTTCAGTTTTGAAAATTACCTAATTATGTTCATTAATAAGGATGGGTTTATTTCATTTAGCTGTTCAATTTATACAGGTAGTCCTCAAATTACAACAGTCCATTGAGGGAACGTTCAAAGTTACGACATTGAAAAAGATGACTTATAACTGTGTTTCACACTTATGACCATGGCAGCATCACATGATCAAAATTCAGACTCTTGGCAACTGATTCGTATTTATGACGGGGGCAGTGTCCCTTTGCAACAAGCAAAGTCAACAGGGAAGCCAGGTTCACTTAGTGTCATGCCCCTGTCGGAATCTGAATCTGAGGAGGAAGCCGGACAGCTGACAGGGATTGTCAAGGAACCCTAGGGCATGCAGGGGGGAACGGAGAAGGGAGCAATGTGACTTGCATGGCTTATGGGGGAGGAAAGGGCCCTGATTCCCTTCATTAGCTGGAGCTGGGAACACAGTGTTTAAAAAGGGAGTTTGCACACAGCAACTTGTTGGAAGCAAATCATTATTTTTTATTGTCGAGGCTTATCTGGGTTCCTGGCGTCTTCCCAACTGTGTGTGCTTTGTTGGCCTTTGAAGTCTGCAATTCCTTATCCTGCCCTGTCCAGTTAATTGCTGCAGCGTGGGTTGTGTGGATTTTTAATTACAGTTTGAATGTACTTTGTTTTTGAACTGAATTTCTTCCATTTAAAGGCTGCTTTTGAGAGTTTTTTCTCCAGCTGAAGGTAATCTGGACATTGGGGGCAAAGTTGGAGTTATTAAAGGGACTCTTTTTGCTTATGTGACTGTGTTGCCTTTGGGTCATCACACTTAACAGGTTACTAACTTATCAACCGCAGTGATTTGCTTAACAACCGTGATAAGAAATGTCGTAAAATGAGACAAAACTCACTTAACCAATGTCTCACTTAACAACATACGTTTTGGGCTCAGTTGTGGCCGTCAATAAATTTTGATCATGTGACCATATGGGGATGCTGCAACGGTCATGCGGTGGGAAAAAAGTCACTTTTTTCAGTGCTGTTGCAACGTCAAACTAAGTGAAGTATCATTTTGTCACTAAATGAACTGTTGTAAGTTGAGGACTACCTGTACTAGACCTGCTTGTGTAAACACAGTTGAGAGGGCCAGAATACCCACAAGCAGCTGAACTGATGGCCCTCCCCTTCCTGAGATCACGTAGAAATGGTTTCATTCTGGGAAGATTCTGTGAAATTCTGGAGAGAGAAAAAAGTAGCAGCATTTCCTTGTTGGCGAAAGGCAGGGACAGTATTGCTTCACGCTGCAACCCACAACCCTCAGCAACGCACCAAAGTTCCTCCAAGCAAAATCACACTTTTTGTCCTCTGCTTTTTTTTTCAGCCGCGCTCAACCTGCAGATGTGACTTCGCCCAACGTGCCAAAGCCCAACCGATTCGGGTCCAAACTACGCCCATTTTGCTGTACATTCCTTTCACCTCTGGAAGCCAAAAACCAAACCAAGAATCCACCTTGTTGACTTTCTTAAAACGTTGCACTGTGTATTTTACAACTTCCCTCTTCTACAAATAGGAGGAGGTTAATAAAAAGTCATTCTCTTGGCGAAATGAGCAAGAGGAGGAAAGTAATTGTCTCATTTGAGCTCAGTGGAACTGACCAGCCTTAATTATATATATATATATATATAAAAAAGCACACACGGTTTTGTCCTTAAACCATGTTGGTCAAACAAGAACGCTGCCTTTCTGAAGGCCAGATGATCTCTTTGCAAGACCTCAACCACAACCACAAGCCCAAGCGCTCATTGGCTGAGGATTTGGCATAGGTATGGTCTGAGTAAGGTGGGTGAAACTCGCAGCTACATGCGATTGTGAAAGTCTTTACAAGCTGAAGTCACAAGATCTGGGTTAGAAGTTAGATTCCATCAGCCAGAAAAGAATGGGTTGTATTTTCTTCCCCTTAAATATGTGTGGGTTTTTTTAAAAAAAAAATATACATCCAGGGGGTGAGGGGAAGACCAGGGCCAAGGGGGAAATGAATGATGTATTTTAGTGTCGGCTGCACCCAGATAACACCCAAAATGTCAATTCCTAATAAATCATTTTTTTTAAACTCTGAGAGATGCGGCTAGAGACATATGATTTGAATGGGGGTGGATTTGTTGGAGTCCTGACAGCCTTTTCAAGGAAACAAAAAAAGGCACGAAAATCCAGCCACTTTTTGAAAAAGCACATTTGGGACAACCACGACCTGGGTCAGAGGTCTCCAAGCTTGGCAACTTTAAGACTTGTGGACTTCAACTCCCAGAACTGGCATTTGCAGAGGATCAGTGTAGCTGGCTGAGGAATTCTGGGAGTTGAAGTCCACAAGTCTTAAAGTTGCCAAGTTTGGGAACCCCCCTGACCTGGATTTTGGGGAAGCTCCACAGACATTTTACCAGCAATTACACAATATTTTGTTGCACTATTTTGCACCAATCCGGATTCACCCAGCTGAGCCAGCCAATCCACCAGATCCCAGATCTGGGAACCCGAAGCTCTGAATCAAGGCTGTCCAGTCAATGCCATTCGCCCTGCTTTTTTCTACAGGTTGCAAAAGACAAGCGTCGCCACCCCCAGGAAATGCCTCCCTCCCTCCCTCCCCCTCCCCTCTGGTCTCACCTGCTTGTCCAAGCCGAGCCACCAGATCAGGGTTTGTTGCAAAGGAGGACTCGCCAACTTTTCCCTGTTCTTTAGCTGCTGCCGCGGATCAGCTGGCAGTTTTGGTGCCTTTTCAAAGACAATAAAAAAAGAAGGGGGTGGATCCCTGACCGGATCTTGGCCGGGAGTCGCAGCTTTAAAAGGAAAAAAAAAACAAAAAACAAAAATCTCCAGCCTGGCTCCTCGTTGCACCGCCGGCCAAGCCAAACAGCCCTGCAGGGAAAGGCGCTGCTGGCCCGAGCCAGAGGGAAAGGTGAGCGCGGGGCAGGCGTCATGCCGGGCCACCCACCTGCCAGGAGGCTGCACCTGCCCGGCTGCGTTGGGCCCCGGCAAGGCACGCCAGCCGGGGCCAGAGCTTGCCCGGGTCTCGCTCAGCTGGTCTCCAGCCTCGCGAAGCCGGAACGGGCCGGCTTTGGCGCTCAGCCCATGCCCAGGAGCTCGAGAAGGGCAGCCCGGAGGACGCGGAAGGGCAGCGAAGCCGAGAGAGGAGGGGGCTCCGCACCGACCCTCCCCACCCCCCGGCCTGGCCCGCTCCCCAAATCAGCCCGGAGATGCCCGTTTCCCCGCCCCGGGGCCAGGCAAAGCGCTCTGCACGTGCCCAGGGGCGCCCTGCCCGCCGGGCACCGGCCCCACGCCGCCCCTACCTCGGCCGCCGCCTCCTCCTCCTCCAGCTGCTGCCAGCGGAGCCAGCAGGGCGCGGAGGCGGAGCCGCGGGGTGCGGAGGGGTGTGTGCGCGCGCTCCCGTGTGTGTGTGGAAGCTCCGCAGCTGCCACGTGGGGCAGGAGGAGGAGGAGGAGGAGGCGGGGAAGGCCGGGCGAGCCGGACGCGCAGCTGCTGCCAACATCTGGAGCGCGCGGGCGCGTGGCTGGAGCTCCGCGCGGGGGGAGCCGAGCGGGGGCTCATCCTGGCCAGGCTTTGCTTGCCCTGTGGCCGTGGGAACGCGTGGGAACCTGGTGGGGGGGGTGCCACGCGTGCGGGGACGCGCGTGGCTTGGAAATGCCCTTCGAAAGCGGAGGACTTGGCGCGTCACGGACGGAGGGAACCCCGCGGGAAGAAGGTGTGCCGGAGGCTGATAGGCTGTTGGAGCTTCCAAGGGGGGGTTTATAAAGCGGTCCGGGACTCCAGAAATAAAATATATACCTAGGATGCTTCAAGGTACTTTTAAATCGATGCTGGGGATGTGGGAAGGGGAGGGTCGTTTTGATCCTGCCTGCTGCTGGTCTTGTACAAACGCCAGAACATTTGCGGGGGGTGGGTGGGGGGGATTCAAGCAACACACTGGGAGGTGAAGTCCAGGTCTCTTCTTCAAAGTCGTCCAGGTTGAGCAACGTCTTGTTCGTGTAAAGCAGCAGGAGGAGTGTCAGACCGAGGACGCAAGTTGCAAATTCGCAGCCTGTTTTTAGTGTTGTTGTGATCGTGGTCTGAAAACCGGGGAAGCAAGTTGTAAAACCGGAGCTCTCGCCTCCAGGGCAGCAGCTGGGAAGAGGGGAAAAGCACTGGGCAGCCCCTGGCCACTTCGGACAGGCATATGAG